ATTTGAGCTTATTAGTGGATCAAATCAGTTTTTTTAGATACTAATGATTGATTTTTTTTATAATATGCAATTCTTTCGCATAGATGCGCTAGGAAAAGGGGTTATTTTATACTTTATTTCTACTACACGTGAAAATGAGAATTTAGCCGATATAATCAAAATTATGTTGCTTTATTCCGTGAATTCGTCATAATTGCATTTTTTATAATTTCATTTTTCTACCTAAAACCATTAATAACAGCCTAGATCCCAATCCGATAATAACCCGAATTTGAGGCCATTTAATAATAGGGCTTAAAAGAAAATCCGACGATTACCAGTTACGGTTTTATGACCAATTAGATACCGTAATTTAATACTAATAAAGTTGAAGTTGTTATCGAGAAATATACTGTTTATTGCTAAGATCGCACAAGATTTGGAAGATCTCTCACGTTTTTTTGCGTAACTATACGTTATTTTAAACCCAATTCGTGCCTCCATACAAACCTACCAATGACCCATAATGGATGGTGCTATAGTACCCATTACATATCGTAGGATCAGATCTGTAAATCACTGGCGCAATTTCCATTCTTGTCTCGTTCTAACGTCAGGGACATCAGATTGACTTGCGTAATACTAATTTAAAGATTCGTAATACGCGTACTATGCCAGAACGTTCCTGAAAAAAGTTGGCGGATTAATTATTCATTGATTTATTCCCCATAGATTTGCAGTTAAATCACATGCTCTCATCTGCGAATATAATTCATGAACAATGGCACTCTTATTACTGCGAAAAAATATAGGTGACGTTTAATATGCATATTCGAAAAAAAGAAATAATAATTTAGTCTATGCGGTTCACCTGAGCATCACATTGCTGAACTGCAAAACTTAACTAAGAAATTGAAAATTTTAGACAAAGGTTTTTTAATCCCAAACTCTTCTACACGCTTTTCATTATCAGGTGATAATCCAACAAGGAATTTTTCTTTAACGTCTATATCATCTAAATCCTTGCCAACGCTAATAGCATATAGCTTAATCATTTTAATGTATTCACTCACAGAGCTATTTCCTTGTGTTGGAGATGATACTTTATCTTCTTTAGGTTCTAAGACTGGAGAGCTCGGAGGGGATGACCGATCTACCCAATTAATCGTATCTCTTATAAACATATCACTATATGATTCTCTCATTATGTTTATTATTAATATTATACTATTTTTTAAATTAAAAAAATTCACATTACTGACCACTGCTCCGGGTTGATGATCACTGCTCCGGATTAGTTGGATAATCAGGAAGTTAATTAATCTTATTTTTGCTATATGCACCTGAATGAAAAACAAAAATAATGATTTAATCAATACACTTTATAGATTTTTGAGGAGGTGTGGCCCAGCAAAAATCTTCTGAACTAGTGATCCTGCTCCAGACCTGTGGGACCGCAACACTAGTGTGTTTAGTAATGTAACATATTTTTGTCTGATGCTGGGTAATTTCTATAGCACGAAGCGACCATAGATGAGAGAAGCTAAATAACTCCTTTTTTTCTCGCAAGCGAGCCAGCTCAAAAAGATATATTTAAAACTAATAACTTACTATATCTAGCTTTCGACTTTGTCGAGAAAGACTGGGCCTAAATTGAAGATAAGGTATTTTGGTATATTATCGTTATGGAACAAACTTATTCTGACATTAGTACTGGTAATAAAATTGAGGTACACGAATTCTTGGAGGCTTTGGGATTATTAGATAATGAAGTCATACCCATCAACATGGATGATGATAACAATAGCGAATCTGACATCGACAAAGAAGATAGTAATGATGAAGATAGTGATGACGATCAAGACAATTATTGGAACTGGGACCTAGGAAAACATAAAC